ACGATTATTAAAATAATGAAGTTAACTATCGATAATTTATCGTATTTTGTGTCTACTTATTTTTTTTGAGATGCCTCTATAGCGGTCATGCACACTGGTGGCACGACATTTTTTTGCCTCTATAGAGGTCAATAACAGTGAAGGGGTTAATAAATCTTCAAATTTGTACATATGCATGTCATTTAACAATTAATTTCTATTTTTAATAATTTTGAAATCTTTATCACTTAAAATAACATCCTCTTTTATGTTGACCATAGTATACTTCGTTTAATTTTCTTTTTGATTCAAGAAAATCTAAATACCTTTAACCCTCTCACTCACTCTCTCCAACATAACCAATTTTGCCTTTTATCCAATTCAACAAATTTTGCCTTTAATCCAATATAACCATTTTTGCTTTTTATCCAGTATAACCAATTTTGTTTTTTATCCAATAAAACCAATTTTGCCTTTAATCAAATATAACCAATTTTGCCTTTTGTCCAATGCAACCAATTTTGACTTTTATCCAAAATACTCAATTTTACCTTTAATCCAATATAACCATTTTTACTTTTTATCCAATATAACCAATTTTTGCCTTTTATCCAATATAACCAATTTTGCCTTTTATCAAATATAACCAATTTTGTCTTTTATCAAATATAACCAATTTCCAATTTATTTTCCAATATAAATATCATCAATTCGATTTTTTCAATAGTAAATTGTTCAAGTAATTAATTTACAAAATGAGGTAAAGAATCAGATTAAAAATGTAACAGTACTTATTATATTACTTACTTAATATATTCACGAAGTTGACATTATATTCACTACGAAGTTCACTTTATATACACAACAGTCACAATATATACACTAAGTTTACTTTGTATTCTCTCACATACAGTGAGTGAATTTATATATTAATTCACTGTAATACTGTATTTTTAAATCGAAAATATTTTACAAAGTGCAATGTGACGAACTGGAACTCGTCAGAATGTGGGCATTTTATATACAAAGATGTACCAACCCTTGGACAATTAGAACCTTTGTTAATGAGGATTAAGTCTGAGAACCCAGGTAATAATTTCTATTCTCCTACTTATTACATGCAAAAATAAAGATATACCAACCCTTGGACAATAGAACCTTTGCTAATGAGGTATCGGTTGAGGTAACGCATATCTTTCCTTCTCACACCAAGGAATATAACTTATGAACTTCTTTTTCGTTTAATATTGCAGGTAATAATTTTAAATTTTTTTAAATAAAATTTTCCGGGGCTCTAATACAGGTATATACATATATACAGATATATATTTATTTTTATTTTCAAAACAAAAAGGAAGAAGATTAAGATTTTAGACGAAGATATTCTTATGTCATTTTGAATTGTCTAGATAAAGAAACGAAATATTAAACGAAGAAAAACTTATGTTATATTCCTTGGTGTAAGAAATAAAGATATGCGTTACCCTATTCAGTTTTAGACTTTCTTTATAACTTTCCACGTAATAAAGGGAGTAAGAAATTATTACCTGGGTCCTCAGAGTTATTATTTAATCCTCTTTAACAGATTGCAGGTCAAGCGAACCCTCATTTGCAAAATAAAGATATATCTTTCTCTCTCCATAACTTGTTCTTCTCTCTGTACCGAAAATGCAGCACGGGTGCGGACGGAATGAATGAATGAATGAACTGACAAATTATTATATATAATAATAATAATAAATTATGTTAGAAGAAATAAAGAGATGAATATAAAAAATAATAGAAATTACAGAAAGTAATCATAAATTTTTTTCTTGCATTTTGTCCACATTCAAAATTAGCCTAATGTTTATGCTATTGTGCTTTGATAGGTTTTGACAATTTTTTCTGTTTACATTGTCAGCCATATGCTTTTTCACTCACACACCTTATAACACGCACAATACATATAATACGCTCACAAATAACCAAACCTAACACACATACAACGCAATACTAATTTCGCTCACAGTTACATTGAACGGAATGATTTAAACTGTCCTTATATGGGCATATCTCTAGAACTTTTAAATTTTATGTTATCGCTCATTATGATACCTTAAGAATTTTTTAAATAATTTTTCAATACCATAATTTGACCAATTATAGGGCTTTTTAAATGTATCATGCGTTATATAATTTTTTTAATTATGTAGGAAATGACGAACGTAAGTTAAAGTGGTGAAATCGACAGTTTCTAGTGTATGATATTGACTGTTTTTTTTTAGTTTATAGACTGTAACTTTTTTAACGAAACATTGTGTGTCTTGTGGCTTGCAATAGAAGTAGGTGGGAGTGTAAAGAACTAAAAAATCCATGAAACAATGATGTGCCTCAAATTGAATAAAAACTATGTAGCTTCAAACTTGCGAGACAACTTTTTCAAAATTTCTACAAGTTAGCAGTTAAACTGATATAACTTTTTTAACGAAGGTTTTTGAGTAACGGCACAACGGGATTATATTATCTACCTAATAAGAAGTAATTTGAACCCATACAGGAATGTGTGCCTCCTTTACACAAAGAATGCAATGACTTCAAACATTAAATTTTAAAACGTAACTCAAATCAAAATACCACATATTTGAAAAGCACATGTTGAATTTTGCTTCTAAATGCTCCCAACTCATTGTAATCTCTTCTCATGCATTATAAAAGTATACAGAAAAATAGTTAACCTTTGCACACTTCATTAAAACTGTATAATTAATAATGAATATAAACCTAAACTGTCCGACGCATAGTTTGTGAAGAAAAGTAAGTATTAACTAATAGATGTGTTTAAATCTGGCTGATATTTCTCACTCGAAGGTTTTTGGGGTCGCTGCGACTACTAATCTGAATTTTAAATTTTCCAAAATTCAAAATGGCGAATCCAATATGGCGGACGACTTTTTAAAAAAGTGATCCCATTGGCCTCAAATTTGTTACTCCGGGGTTTTTGAGGTCGCTGATTATGAATCTGAACTTTGTTTTTCAAAATTCAAAATGGCGGATGACTTTTAAAAAAATTGATCCAATTGGCCTGAAATTCGTTACTCGGGGGTTTTTTGCGTCGCTGACTACGAATCTGAACTTAGTTTTACAAAATTCATAATGGCAGATTCAATATGGCGGATGACTTTTTACAAAATTGATCCCATTGGCCTAAAATTTGTTACTCGGGGGTTTATGGGGTCGCTGATTACGAATCTGAACTTAATTTTTCAAAATTCAAAATGGTAGATCCAAAATTGCAAACAAAATTTTTTAAAAAATTTTTAAAAAAATAATTTTAAAAAATTCAAAAATTGTTATAAACTACATTTACTTATGACTTAATAAACAATAGGCCATAAAATTTTTGAAACTGTAGCATTAAATCATTTTAAAGGTGGTAGCGACCCAAAAAACCCCCGAGTAACAAATTTCAGACAAATTCGATCAATTTTTTTAAAAGTCGTCCGCCATATTGGATCCGCCATTTTGAATTTTGAAAAACTAACGTCGCATTTGTAATCAGCGACCAAAAAAATCCGCGAGTTACAAATTCCAGTCAGTTTTAAACACATGTAGAGATTTTGGGCAGATTTTTTGCAATAAGGCCCACTGTGATGCCTAACAATGTGTAAAAATGAGTTACGCAAATTTTTTTATAGTATTTGATCAATACTGAAGACAATAAAATTTGTTTCACGAATGTGCCCTGAAAAAAAATTAATTTTTCTAATATCTCAAAGTTTAAAAGTTCTAGAGATATGCCCATATATCAAGTGGCAGAAAAATTCACAACTTGTGAGAAACGCTTGTAAAATGAATAAATGATTTATTTTACTTTTATAATTATATTATTGACTCTTAATAGAATGAAATATATTGCGGTCAATTAATTATGGTTTAGAAATTAAAAATTTCATTCAAGTTTTTAATTTAAAATAAAAAAAAAATATGAAAAAAATATTAATCTATTTAAAAAAACAGAATAAAAATAAAGTAAAAATTATTTAGCAGAAGAAATAGTAATTTATTTTATATTGTAATAAATAACTAAATAGAATATAAATTATATTGAAATTTATAGAATAACAGATTTTTTCATGTGAATAAGACAAACATAAAAGCAAAGTTTTAAAATAAATTTTTTTCAATTTTCAAATAAACAATATTAAACTAATAATAATAAAATATTTAACATTAAATGAAAAGACTTATTATGAAATCCCATTTTTTAGTGTGATAGGTTCAGGTGCGTAATAAAGAAACTTGGCGCCCTGTTAAAATATATATGGTTTTATTATCTATAATTGTTAATAATTATTTACTTTTATCTTTTTGAACTGCTTTATTAAAAGTAAATGCTACTAGTAAACTTATTTACAAATTTTCAAAAAGTTTTATAAATATTGTTTAAGTTAAAATTTTTTACGGGTGCCTAGTGTTTCACATTCAGTCCTGGCAGAAGTTGCGTGGTGGGGACATACGTTTTACTCAACTTTTGAACGAACTGTGACACACGCATACGAATAAGTACCCAAGTAAAGCATGAAGTACTACCAAAAGTAAATCAGTTTATGATCAAATGCGTTCTATAGTTTAGTCTAACATTTGTTTTAATCTTTACACCACTGTTTGAATACACTTTAAGGAATATATTTTAGTAAAAATACAAGAGAATTTTAAATTTTAGAAAAATGCCCATGTGTAGCCATTTTTCCCAACTTTTGACTATACTTTAAACATATCGTTTTTTCAGTGTACTCAATTTGAGATTAGGTTTTTTCTGGGAATTGTACTATCCTAAATCTGTCAAATTAATGCAATTTTTTGTCACCCAGTAGTTAAAAATTTTTTCTAGGGACTGTAGCTTCAAATCGCTACGGAGCCACATCTTTGTAGTGCTGTTGCTATTCGTAATCCCGTTACAGAACTACTACAAGGAGAAGCAGCATATCCAGTTTTTGTGTTACTGTTAAAAAAGATATATCCCATTTTTTGCATTTCAGTCTACAGAGCTTACACCATTGAGGGAGCTTTTTGAACTTCTACAAATAAAGTCGGAACTTTTCGAACCTAATCAATCACACAGTTCGAATAATTCTGATCCTGAAAGACTACCTACCCCTCAACCGTCAGATGAACAAGAATGTTCTAGTTATGAATCACAATATGATGACAGGTTAGTATTTTAAAATAAGAATATAAAATATTATCAGTTGCTATTAAAAAAGAATAACATATTTAGAAAAATAATAGAAAAGATAGGTAGAACAAAATGCATGATAACACAAAAAATATTTAACCAATTGACTTGAAAAATGAAACATAACTTCTTAAGTAGGGGAAGGTAGGGGAATTAGAGCCCCTTAACCTTCGCCGGACTGGATACTTTTTATATACACGGTTCACAAGATCCCACCCAGGGTGGGCCAAATGTTTTCTTCTTTGTATATTGCAATAAAAACTTAGAATCATTCAGTTTTTTTCCAAAATTGTTATATGTTACCAAATAATATATTTTATTAATGTTTTGTTGATTTTTTATTTGTTTAAACAATTTATTATTAATAATTTATAACTTTTTCAAATATACATACGACAGTAGAAGAATTTTATAAAGGAGGAGGGCCCCTAAGGCCTATATTTCGCCCCCTTGGGATTTTAATTTAAATGGTTGAAAACTTTTTCTTATAGTAGAAAAAGTAATTTTTCATTGATTTTAGGTGAAACGGGGGTGTTTTGGTCAAATTAACCCTTAGATTTTAGGGTTTTTTTTTCAAAAAGAGTGTCGAAAAACATGCAAAAAACATTTTCCAAATGTTGAGCAATTGGCTTGAAAATCGTTGCTCGGGGGTTTTCGGGGTCGCTGATTACGAATCCGAGGTTAGTTTTTCAAAATTCAAAATGGCGGATCAAAAATGGCTGACATATTTTTGAAAAATTCATTGGATTTGCCTGAAACTCGTGACTCGGGGGTTTTCGGAGTCGCTGATTACGAATCCGAGGTCAGTTTTTCAAAATTCAAAATGGCGGATCCAATATGGCGGCCAACTTTTAAAAAAACTTAATATAATCGTCTGAAGTAAGTAGTTTTCAGTGATTTTAAATATTTGTCCGCCATGTTGCATCCGCCATTTTGAATTTTGAAAAACTGACTCCGGATTCATTTTCAGCGACCCCAAAAACCCCCGAGTAGAGAGTTTCTAGCAAATCCAAACGATTTTTTTAATAGTTCTCCGCCATATTGGATCCGCCATTTTGAATTTTGAAAAACTGACCTCTGATTCGTAATCAGCGACCCCAAAAACCCCGGAGGAGAGGTTCAAGCAAATCTAAACGATTTTTTAAAAAAAATTCCGCTATATTGGATCCGCCATTTTGAATTTTGAAAAACTGACCTCGGATTCGTAATCAGCGACTCCGAAAACCCCCGAGTCACGAGTTTCAGGCAAATCCAATGAATTTTTCGAAAATATGTCAGCCATTTTTGATCCGCCATTTTGAATTTTGAAAAACTAACCTCGGATTCGTAATCAGCGACCCCGAAAACCCCCGAGCAACGATTTTCAAGCCAATTGCTCAACATTTGGAAAATGTTTTTTGCATGTTTTTCGACACTCTTTTTGAAAAAAAACCCTAAAATCTAAGGGTTAATTTGACCAAAACACCCCCGTTTTACCTAAAATCAATGAAAAATTACTTTTTCTACTATAAGAAAAAGTTTTCAACCATTTAAATTAAAATCCCAAGGGGACGAAATATAGGCCTTAGGGGCCCTCCTCCTTTGTCACCTTTTCTTCGTAGTTATTAATTCAAAGGTTATAAATAAAATAAAATATATAATTCAATTTGCAACAACTATTATTATAAATTGTTTAAACAAATAATTGTTGCTATTTATTAACATTCTTCATAATATTCCTAGAAAATTGCAATTTTTTTCTAATTTTGCAACTTAACAAGCACAACATAATAACACAAAGATTTTATATGAATTTACTATTTAACCAATTGTTTAAACAAATAATTGTTGCTATTTATTAACTTTCTTTATAATGTTCCAAGAAAGTTGCAATTTTTTTCTAATTTTGCAACTTAACAAGCTCAACATAATAAACATGAAGATTTTATATGAATTTAGTATTCAAACGATTGTTTAAACAATTTATTGTTGTTATTTATTAACTTTCTTGTAGTGTACCTAGAAAGATGCAGTTTTTTCCCAATTTTGCAATTTATCAAACCGAATATAATATAGCCAGACAGATTTGACATAAATTTACTAATTTAACAATTGTTTAAACAATTGTTGAATTTACAATTTTACATCAAATCTATCTTTTATTATATTCGGCTTGATGAGTTGCAAAATTAGAAAAAAACGGCAACTTTCCAGGTGCCGTACAAAAAAAGTTAGTAAATAACAACAACAAATTGTTTAAACAATTGTTGAATTACTAATTTTACATCAAATCTATCTTTTATTATATATTCCGCTTTATAAATTGCAAAATTAGAAAAAAACTGCATCTTTCTAGGTGCAGAACAAAGAAAGTTAATAAATAATAACAATAAATTGTTTAAACAAATGAAAAATGCAATATAATATTTTTTATATCTATTATTTGACATCATAAAACACTCACAGTGAAAAGTCTGCATGATTTCAAGTCTTTTTGTAAAATAGAATTAAAAAAATATCTGAATCATCCCGGTTATCTCCGTACATACATTGATAAAAGTTATAAATAATCAAGAAGAAATTTTTTTTTAAAATTTGTTTTTACATTTTTTGAAAGTTCTTAAGATTTTGTTCAGTGACTTAAAATCGCGATTCAATTAAGGCAAAACTTTAGAAGATATGGCAATTTCAATTTGTCTGGCCCACCCTGGGTGGGCATCTTGTCAAGCGAAGGTTAAGGACAATCATTAAAAAAACCAGCTTATTGTTATAATAAAATATTGTTTTGGTCATTTTTTACTCCTTTTGTTATTTATCTTTAATTATAATTAATTAGAAATTAAGAACAAAAAAGTAAGTTTACAAAAAAAATGTTTTCTAAAAAAATGCATTTTCTCCCATTACCCCACCTGTGGGGTATTGGGAGCTCTCACTTGAAGTACCAATAAAATGATATAATTTTTATTTTCTTTAGATATTTTTCTTATTCTGTCAATAGTTTTCGACAGATGATTAAAATGGATCCAAAATCGGGTTTTTGGGGATCATTCTTCATCATATCAGAAGTAAAAATCCGTTGAGATCAAAATCCTAGCTGCTCCTTTTTTCGAGATATCGGTATTTTCGTTTATTTAATTTTGCGAATATTCTAAAAACACTCAGTTTGGAACTTGTAACTACATGTACGCAAACAAATCTTACAAAAAGTATCTTAAATATATTTTTTATATGTAATTAGATGTAAAAACCTTTAAAATAAAAACTCAATGAAGAAAATTTGTTAATATTTGTCAATATATTTGGTTTTTTTTATATTGAGCTCAATTAGAGTCGATTTTGAATTTTTTGATATCTTAGGTCATACCTATTTCAAAACCCTTTATATTCATGTTAAATATATTTTTTTGAAAAAATTTGTTGTATTCTTTTGAACAGATTAGTGATTTGGTCCATCGTCGATTTTTAAAAGTTAGAATCTCTACGAAATGCATTTAAAGATGAGAAATTTCCATTGAGACTTATGCGAAAAATGTCGAATTTTTATTTCGTTACTTTTAAGTGAGTTGTATTATACTGATTATTACAGTTCATGCAAGATATCCATTTATATACATTTTTGTTTCAAAATTTTAAATCTATTGTTTAGTTTGAAAATTATTCAACTTCTTATTTTGCTTATGATATTTTACAAATATCATTCTCTACCAGATGTAATAAAAAAATTTGTTTCGTTCTTTCTAAATCATATAAATTAATTTGTTGTGCAAACAGTATTAAAATATAAAAAATATATTTAACATAAATATAAAGGGTTTGGAAATAGGTATGACCTAAAATATCAAAAAATTCAAAATCGACTCTAATTGAGCTCAATATAAAAAAAACCTAATATATTGACAAATATTAACTAATTTTCTTCATTGAGTTTTTATTTTAAAGGTTTTCACATGTAATTACAAATAAAAAATATATTTAAGATACTTTTTGTAAGATTTGTTTGCGTACAAGTAGTTACAAGTTCCAAACTGAGTGTTTTTAGAATATTCGCAAAATTAAATAAACGAAAATACCGATATCTCGAAAAAAGGAGCAGCTAGGATTTTGATCTCAACGGATTTTTACTTCTGATATGATGAAGAATGATCCCCAAAAACCCGATTTTGGATCCATTTTAATCAAACTTTTTTTTGGTTCAGGCACGGTGTGAATTTAGTAGTTACCTATAGTCGACATTAAATTAATAACGGTGTGAATTTAGTAGTTACCTAAAGTCGACATTAAATTAATACCTTTCGTTTTACAGTGCACAGAAAAAACTGAACTCAAAAGAAGTAGCGTACGCTACTCATTTCGACGTGCAGCAAAAATGATCTGTTTTGACTCATTTTGAGTTTTTAGTGAAATTTTTCAAATTGAACTCAGTCTGGTACATTTTGAGTTCATGATTAATGTTAAACTATCGTTGTCAAATAAATAATTACGTACAAAAATATTAAATTAAAGAATTGTTTTTAATAAACAAACGTATAGCCCTAAAGTTGATTTACACAAATTAACGAAATTAAACATTAGGATTTTTAGGTTAGGAAACTTGTTGACGTCATTGCCAACTATTTAGGTTTTTCTTCTTTTTTTCAAATTGTGGCCTGTGAAAATTCTTTGGGGGTAATGGGAGAACTGTGTCAGCCAGCAGAGTTTCGTTATCTCGATATGGCTTTTCTTATTTCCTTAAAAGTTGAAAAAGATTCATTTATAAAATTTGATATTGTTACATATTTAATTACTAAGAATCCATATTCGTGTTTTATTGTATAAAATGTGTAATGGGTAATGTTATTCTATCATTTATCATAGTATTTATACATTAGATAAATTCTGGTTAGGATAAGCAGAGATTTAACTCCCTCGCCTAAGTAGAAATGTCCATAGCTCGCCGGAATTAAACACCAGCATGGTATAGTACTGACCCAATACTGGCCGTCGGTATTGACTTTCAG